CACCTGTGTGTCCTGCTGGTTCTGTTGTGTTGGTTCATCATGTCCTGGGTCTCCCTGGTTCATATCCTACTAATGAGGAGGCTGACCTTTTGTGCAGGAACTGAAATTCCACATTTCTTCTGTGAACTGGCTCAGATTCTCAAGGTAGCCTGCTCAGACACCTTCATCAATAATGTCTCCATGTACGTGATTGTTGCCCTACTGGGTGTGATTCCTGTCACTGGAATTCTCTATTCTTATGCTCAGATTGTCTCCTCGTTAATGAGAATGTCCTCTGCAGGGGGAAAATATAAAGCATTTTCCACCTGTGGGTCTCACCTCACTGCAGTCTCCTTGTTCTGTGGGACAGGACTGGGGGTCTATCTCAGTTCTGCTGTGACCCATTCTTCCCTGCAAAACTCAGTGGTCTCAGTGATGTACACTGTGGTCACCCCCATGTTGAACCCCTTCATCTACAGCCTGAGGAACAAGGATGTGAAGGGGGCCCTTGGAAGGCTCCTCCACCCAGCAGCACCTTGTCCATGATGGATCACTGGCCCCAGAACTAAGTGTACATTGTGGACCTCGGAGGTTAATGTTGCAAATTTAAATATCCAGGTTCTTTTTCTCTCCTATAAGACATTATTGATTTCTTCTATCCAAAGCACAGATGATTTCCCTTTTCTTTGTTTTTGTATTAGTACTTGTTTGGCTCTTCTCAGCAACTCCCTAAGAAATTTTTTTTTTTACTTCAGCAAGTGGGCAGCGACCAGAGGGGAGAGGGAAGGGAATTTAAGGGGAAAAATGGGGAGGGATTTTGAGGAACAAGTATGAAAGACACAGGGATGAGGACTGGGGGCGGGGGGAGGAAATGGGAGGGAGGTGGGGAGACGGGGCAGGGGGGCTGGGATGGGAGAAATAGACAGAAAACTGTACTTGAAAAATAACTAAATTAAAAAAAAATTTTTTTAATTTTTCATCCTTGCATGCTGTCCACAACACTCCTCATTTGGCCAGCATCTTACAGCTATTCTTAAAATTTCTAACTTTAAACTTAAAGCACTTGTCATTTCAAGTGCTTAGGTTCCCAGAAAGTTGTCTTCATACCTGATTGATCTTCACCTTAATTTCCTTGTATGCTTGTTTTTTTTCCAGAAGAAATAGAGTGAAAAGCATGTAGTAATGAGAACAAAATGTTTACGATATCAAGACTCTATGTGTTTCTTCACATGAATGACTTAATTTCATGTTAAAAACATTTCTTTGAGGTATTGTCTCTCATTTACTTCACTTTTCAAAAGAAAAGACTGAAATTCAGGTGGACTACAGCCTGGCAGGTGACTTTGCTATTCTGCCTTTCACAACAACAGTGACGTGATTTCAATTTCAAAGGAGGAATCCAGGTTTTAAAGGTGTTTTCTTCAGATGACATAGAAATCAGTGCCTGGGAAAATTGATATGAGTCAGTCCTTGTGATTGTTTCTTCCACTCATCATCCTTCCTTTCCCATTTTCTTTGACCTTTGTTTTCCATAATTGCAATTTTGAGATATGCCCTCTAGGAACCAAATATATTACATTTATTCATGTAATAATGAATACAATAAAATAAAGTTTGTTTTCTCACATGTTTTAATCATTTTGGAACTCTGTGGGAGTGCATCAGAAATAATAGTTACACATTTGTGGAACATGTTTAGAACTTTGGGGGAAGGGTATTTCCAGAAGTGTCTGCAAGGAAGCATGGAGTAGCCCAAAGGAGCTTAGTGACTTCAAGAGGAGAACATCAAAGAAACAATTTATTTAATGAGTAATGATGAGAAATCATTCTCCTGAGGCTTGGGAAACCACAAATACTTCCCTCGCATCCCCACCATAGTTCAATGACACCTGGCTGGGAGAAGACTACACCTGCACCTCTCACAGACATGACTTTGTGACAAGTTCTGTCTCCCTATCATTCCCTGGGTGAGTCTGTCTTCAGCATCCAACAGTCAGAGCAGAAAGAGTTTTTCCAAATACTTGTTTAAGCAATGCTGGTGGAGTGAGTCATCCATCTGGCCTTATGAGTATTGTGTATGAAAAGAAGTATTTAAAAAGTCATGAGGGAGGGAGGTAACATAGTTGATAGTGTCCCAAGACAATTTTATTTGAGTTCCTGGAATTTATTTTCCTGGCTATTTACATCTTTTTAGATTCCTGTGCAGCTGTTTTCTGTTGCCTCCAGTTCAGATGGAAACTTATTTTGCACCCAGTGACTTGCTAAGTGTCAGTAGGAATTGGCACTTTCTCAAGTATAAAAAGTTTCCAACCCACCTGCTAAGAGCTTCCTTGTCCTTCTCTAGTACAGTAGTTCTCAGTGTGGTTCCTGAAGCAGCAGCATCTGTTCCCCTGAACTCATCTCTGCTGAGAGCTTGCCAGAAATGCAGAGTCTCAGGCCCCACCCAAGACCTGCTGACAAACTCCAAGGATGAGTCCCAACAGCCTGTTTTAACCAGCCCTCCAGGTGCCCATGATGCAGGCTATCACTGGGGAACCCTGGCTCCTTCATGGTTTGGTTTCTAAAAGGTTACACACACTGTTTGATTCAACAAATATGCATGGAGTGCCCACTCTGTGCCAGGTGCCATGTGTATTGTCATTGCAATTGTGAACAGCCCCATTTTCCCTCTATCTTCCCTAATGACTCTGTTCAGGGACATAAGAAAGCTGATAACCCTGGTGACTTTCATTAGTGTTCCCAGGTAGGTAAGCCTATCAGCAGCTGACAGTGGCCAATTCTGTATTTGGTTTTCAACTATTATACCTGGGGACAGGTATAATAGTTGGCATTTTCTTGTCATATGGCATTTTTTGAATTATTAGAAACTATGTTAAATGATTATAACAGCAAGCATGATTTCTCCTTTCTGCTTTTTTTGAGTTTGTTTTGTGTTCTTAGGGTTTAATGATGGATCTTGGATTAACACTTGGTTAGTATAGTGCTATGCTAACACCTAAAGGCAATATCCTTCTATTCCACATGACGGAAATGTTCTGTTCCCTTCCCATCAGTGACTGTTAAATTTTATTACATATACATTTAGGTTGCAACTGTCATTATTTCCACATTGACTTATTCATGCATCAAGCAGATAACATTATCTTACTGCTTTTGTAGGTTGCTGCATCAATAATGTGAGAATAACTTGTAGATTTCTTGTTTCTGATATTTATATATCACAAGTAGGATATATATGTGTGTGTGTGTGTGTGTGTGTGTGTGTGTCACAAACAAGACATATATAAAAATAAGATTATTCCAAATTTTGTTCCAACCTTCATTCAACTTTTTATGCTCTTTGAGAATAAACACTGGGAATACCAGGATAAATAAATTTTGTAATATGTTACCTGAACTTGTGTAGTTTATGATTCAGTCATGAGAGGGACAGATATTAAGCAAGAAATTTCATAAGTAAATGTGAAAACATAAGTATGACTTAGGCAATGAAGAAGAAAAATACAGGGGAGTATAAAAGCTTGGAATAGGGGGAACTGTACTTGGTGGATGGGTTCAGGAAGGCTTGTTTGAGGAATTGATGTTCTGTATAAGAGATAAGGACAAGACTGATCACAGGAAGACAAAGGCTTGGAGGAGCACCCCAGCCTGGAGGACAATACTTACACAGGTGTGGCTGGGGGAAACTCACAGCACTGTAGCATTCCTGAGAAGGACAATGTGTTGGAACTTAGTGAGAGAAAGGCTGGTGCTGTGCTTAATAAGATGGGAGGTTGGAAGGAACCAGCATGAGCTGGCAAAGCTGGAAAGGGTGTAAAAGAAAGAAAAATCATAGCCCGGTCTCCCTTATGGACACTGAGGCAAAAATCCCCAGAGGAAAGCACCTTCCAGATGATGTTTGTGTTTGCTTCCACTTGGGGCTTAAGGTGCATTTTGTCCAGGACCACTTTAGACTAATTTCTTCTGGCTGAGGTTTCCAGGTGAGTGTGAATGTGGGCTCCACACCTGTCAGTGGTCACCTCAGCTCCAATGATTTTCAAAGTCTGCCTCTTTCTGACATTTCATGGATGAATTTTCCTTTTTATTTTTCTACCCTGTCCTATTGAACATTATGTGAAAGTGTTTTTAACTTCTACTTCTGACATCATTTCAGGTTTAAAGAAAATGTTTAAATAGTAGTTCCTATGTATATCTTTTACTGGACCCCCTAAATGTTAACATTTTTACCACCTTCACTTTTTTCTTTATCCAGTTTTCTCTCTCTCCCATGTACATGTGTGTGCACACACATGTGGGTGTGTTTGCAAAACCATTGGAGAGCAAGTTGTATCTTTAAACCTTCAGTGTTCCCTAAAAGCAATGACATTTTCCTCACATAACCACAATGCAATGATCAAAATCAGGAAATTAATGTTGATATAATAAGATTATTACATTTATAGACTTCATTTCTATTTTGACAGTTGTGCTAATAATGTCATTTAGAGCAAAGAAAACCCAATATCACACATTACTTTTGGTTGACCTCTTGTTAGCCATCTTTAATCCAGAACAGCTCATCCTAGACTTTCTCTGAATTTGGTGACATTGACATTTTTGGATATTTCTTAGTTTGGGTTTATCTGATGTGCCATAGTCTTTAGATTGAAGTCCTGTGTCTTGGGCAAAAATCCCACAGTAGTGACATTGTGTCCTTTCCAGTGCCTCCTACCCAAGGGAAACAGGATGTTGATTCATCCTATTTTGAAGCTTCAGATGGATTTTTAAGATAGGTGGGCAGCAATTCTGAGCTCCATTTGGTAAGATTTCATTTGGTTTCATTGCTGTAAAATGGGAGGCTAAGATGGGTGGGTGGGACAAGGCACTCCATTTTTAGGTTTCCATTTATAAGTGAATGGAGACCCAACTCTCAGAAAAACTGACAAACTTCATAAATAACTTGAGTGAAAGGCATAGTCAACATTTCTATTATGTGGAGGGCGCCAGTTTGTACTAGTTCATGCTGTTCTTGTCTCTTCCTTCGTAGATATATCAACTACATGAAAGCAGGAAACAAAACAGAAATCTTGGAGTTCATCCTCCTTGGGCTCTCAGAGGACCCAGAACTGCAGCCCCTCCTATTTGGGCTGTTCCTGTCCATGTACCTGGTCACTGTGCTTGGGAACCTGCTCATCATCCTAATCATCAGCTCAGACTCCCACCTCCACACCCCCATGTACTTCTTCCTCTCCAACCTGTCCTTGGTTGACATCTGCTTCAGCACCACCATAGTCCCCAATATGCTGGTGAACATCCGGACACAGAGCAAAGCCATCTCCTACATGAACTGCCTCACTCAGGTGTATTTTTCCATGCTGTTTCCTATCCTGGATACTCTACTTCTGACTGTGATGGCCTATGACCGGTATGTGGCCATCTGTCAGCCCCTGCACTATGCAGTCATCATGAAGCCTCATCTCTGCAGCCTGCTAGTTTTTATTACTTGGTTCATCAGTGTCATGACATCCCTTCTCCATATGTCTCTGATGATGCAACTGAGTTTTTGTAGAGATCGTGAAATGCCACATTTCTTCTGTGAACTGACACAGATCATCAAGCTGGCCTGCTCTGACACCTTCCTGAATAATGTATTCATATATTTTATGACTAGCATGCTTGGTGTCCTCCCACTTTCGGGGATCCTCTTTTCCTACTCAAGAATTACTTCATCCATAAGGAAGATGTCCTCATCAGGGGGGAAGCAAAAAGCATTTTCCACCTGTGGGTCTCATCTCTCAGTCGTTTCTTTATTTTATGCAACAGGCATTGGGGTCTACTTCACTTCTGCAGTGACTCACTCTGCCCAGAAAGTCTCAGTGGCTTCAGTGATGTACACCGTGGTCACCCCCATGCTGAACCCCTTCATCTACAGCCTGAGGAACAAGGATGTGAAGGGGGCCCTGGGAAGACTCCTCAGCAGAGCATCCTCTTATCTGTGATAGAGCCACTGGCCCCAGGACTCAAGAGCTTTGTGAGTAGCAGTGGCAAAATCTTGTGTCCTGAAGTTAGTTCTTACTCTTGAATCTCTTAAATCATCTTGTTCTTTCATCTGGTCCTTAAGGACTTATGACTTTGATCTCTCCTAGTTTTTAACACACATGTAAACAACTAATCTCCCAGTAACTTATTTGATGACATTTTGCCTTATCTGTTGTCCAAAAGTTAGGTTCTTATCTTCTTCCTCACCTTTACACTAGTGAATCCTGAACTTGGATTTGAAGCATATACTGTATCTTTACCTCAAATGTTGCCCTTGAGTGCTTAAACTACTGATTGTTTACCTTATTTCTCTGTTTGATTGTGAATTTTTATTGTTTGTGTGGGTATATCACCAACAGTGGGTTTTTTTAAGTGGATAAAGTATGATTAAAATACATATCAAAATATTGTTGGTGTGTTAGTGTTTATTATATGGTACGCATGTGATAACTGTTCTATTATATTATGTAATCTTTCTAATAGGAAATATTATGTCCCCATTTTAGAGGTGACAAAAATGAGATTTTCAAAAAGCTAAAAACAAAACAAAACTTCCCCAAAGTTACAGAGGGGTGAGTGACCAAGTGGCAGATGCAGGATTCAAACCTAGAACTCTAACCCTGAGCCACAGTCTGAGATCTAACAGTCTTCACAATTTTTCAAACAGACTTTGCTGTGTATGTCTCTCTGGTAGACTTTACTGCCGATCAACAATATTCTGATTATCCTCTTTTTTTTTTGCATACCCAGAAAAATTGCATTTCCTTTCTCCTTGAAGGTAAAGGAGGCAATATCATTTTATCTGTTCAATAAAGTATGACTGGGACTGATGTATTCCCTCTAGGCTGGTATATTTAAGAGCTGGAAAATTGTTCTTTTTATTCCATCTGACTTTGACATGGCTATTGTGGAATAGAGCATCATAAAATCAAAATAGTTTAATAAATGTAAGACTGGCAAATACATGTAGGAGTTTTGTGGATAGTTACTTAAGCCTGTATATAAATGACTTTTTAAATAGAAAATCTCATAAATCCTGTTAGTGCCACAAGTTCATAACCTCTTTTCAGTGTGCTGTGAGACTCTGTGATATGACATGACAATCATGACCACAAGGAGAGGAGTACATCCAGCACAGCCAATTGCTACTTTCATTTACCCAGAATTTGCAAGGCGTTTTTTTGGAAGATTTACTCCTATCTACTCCTTGAAAACCTCAACATTTCAATATCTCAAACCCTCTCTCATGTCCAACATTAACCGTTCAATCAAATAGCCAAAAGTCTCAAGGCTTTACATATCAACCAGCAATGGCAATGTGTTCAGTGACAAAGAGAGGTCCAATTATCACCAGGTTACTTTCTTCAAAGGAAAAATTAATATTCAAAAATTTGCCTTAAATGGCTTAATGTAATACATGTAGTATAATTATATATCTGTCTATAACTATCTATCTTCCATCTATCTCCCTACCTATCTACCTACCTACCTATCTGGCATATAAAATTTCCTGGGGCCAAGAGAACAGAGAAAGAGGCTGATGACTCCATCATTACATTAAGAGTTTATTAAGGGAATTTACATATGAGGCTTGTCTTGGGTGGCAGCACCATGACATGGCTATCACCCATGCTGTGTGGCAGATGTGAGGAGTTATATAGGACAGGGCAATATGGATGGGATTACTGGGGCATGACCCAACCCAGGTAAGGAAGAAAAACCTTACTGCTTGCCTGAGGAAGGGCAGCAGCCTGTTCCAGCAAATGGCACTCCTGGGCATAGAAGAGAGGGCCAGATGGTCTCTGAGGGAATTTATGGGAAACAGTCTCTCTTTTGTCCAGAATCTAGCTGGATCCAGGTTAAGGTCCAGCTGCAGTCATGTTATTGAACATGACTCTACTCTATCTCTCTACCCATTCATACCAGATTTTAGCCTAAGGCTCCAACATGTCCCTTAGCTCTTCTCTCTCAGTGTCTTAGTAAATGAAGAGTTTTCTGTGGAGAAGATGAAGCAGGGTGTTTCTGAGTATGGGCAAGACAGTGGGCACAATGGAACATTTTCAGGGATCAAAGATGGTTCAATGATGGAAGAAGAACCACATAGAACTATATAAATGAGAGAAGTGGAAATGATAAAACAGTAGAAAGTCTTATGTGGGTATGTGTCTTTAATATCATTTAATATCATAATAACTACTATAATAAGTATATTGACTTTGTAACTATGTATAGTCAATAATATCATAATTAATATAAATATTTCTTGTTTAAATAATTAATTGTTTTATATTTTTATTTTTAATATTTATTGGCTTATTCTTTCATTAGATTTATTTCCTCGATCATGCTATCAATATTTAAAACTCATAACACTTTTAAGTGCTTGACAATAAAAATGTAATATATATCGATGTTAGAAAGCTTGGAAAATGCAAGTAATGAGAGATATGGTAGACAACCCAAAGGATGCATTTACCTATCTATGTGCACCATGCGTTTACAGTCAAAACCTTATTTCCTGATTACACCTTCCAGGCTGTAACTGGTTTAATAAGTGTTCTTTCACCAGAGATGCATTTGATAAATTTGATTATAGTTATAGCTTAAAGTACTTGTACTTTCAGAGATGAAAAGGGGAATTTTGATTTTGTTTCTAGTTGCTGTTACTTTTAGTCAAATTGCACAATGTTTAATACTCATTGAACTATGAAATATTCACTTAAAGGAGGCCCAAGCCAGGGTGCTGAAGATTAAATTCCCATTTTGTATATTACTAGGTATATGACCTAGGCAAGTCACCTGGACCTCAGAACCCTCAAGGAGGAGAGTCAGGATCACTCCAGCAGGTAAGCCATGCAGAGTAGCAGGGATATTATTCAAGGGTGAGGGGAACTGAGAATGGATAGCAGAGGACAGAGACACTGAGAATCTGTTGTGGCTTTGAGTTCACCTACAGTAAGAGAAGCTGTAGTTTTTCCCATTGGTCCTCCTCCTTATAGTGTATCTCACCCACCCTCTACCCAAAACAGACCCATTGAAACCATGGAGGAGCTTCTCCCAAAACTTATACAAAACGTTGATCCAAGTAAAAGCAAAAAAATAATGATGAAATAAACAAGTGAGCCCACATCCAACTAAAACATCCTGCATGGTAAAAGGAACCATCAACAAATAAGAAAATCAACCTACCAAATGGGAGAAAATATTTGCAAATCATATATCTCATAAGGCAGTAAAGTCTCTGATATTGCTCCTAGTCATATTGTTTCTGAGATATCTCTCCTTGGTCAAGGGAAAAAAATGAAACTACATCCAACTAAAATGTTTTTGCACATCAAAGAAATTGATAGAGAAAACAAAAACACAGCCTACCGATTGAGATATTTGCCAATGATATATCCAATAAGGGGTTAGTGTACAAAATTAATAAAGAACTTATACAGCTTAACACAAAAAAAAAACCCCAGGAAATTCTAATTATATAATGGACAGAGGACCTAAATAGACATTTCTCCAAAGAGGACATATAGATGGCTGGTAGACATATGAAAAGATGCTCAATGTCACTGATCATCAGCTAGATGGACTGCTATGTTCACTGCAGCATTATTTATAATAGTTAAGATATGAGCGCAACCTAAGTGCCCATCAATAGACAATTGGATAAAGAAGTGGTGATATGTCTACAATGGAATATTACTCAGCCATGAAAAAGAATGGAGCCTTATCACCTGCTACACCATGCATGGACCTAAAGGGTAATATGCTAAGTGACATAAGTCAAATACTATATGAGAAAGACAAATGCTATATGATTTCACTTACATGTGAAATCTAAAGAACAAAATGAAGCAACAAATGAAGCAAAAAGGACTCATGGATACAGGGACAAAGTGATGGTTGCCAGATGGGAGGGGCATTGTGGGGCTGGGTAAAAAGGGTGAAAGCATTAGGAAGTACAAATTGGTAGTTACAAAACAGTCATGGGGATGTAAAGAACAGCGTAGTGATTATAGCCAATAATATTGTAATAACTATGTATGGTGCCAGGTTGACACTATACAGGTTGATACTATTTTGAGGGATCACATAAATAAGTTATGTAAATATCTAACCATTATGCTATACACCTGAAACTAATATACGATAACACTGGATGTTAACTGTAATGGAAAAATTTAAACAGTTTAAAAATCTTGTGAGGCTAAAAAGAAAGGTTGACTCAAATGTAGCTGGGGAAAGACTATAGAGAATGTTGTGCTTGTTGCCCAGATCCTTTTCAGGATTAAGGGCTTATTTCTCCAGGTGCAGGGAGTGCAGCCATCTGACAGCCCTCAGTCCTCTTTGTCAATAGCACTCAGTGGAAGGAAGCTGCCTCACCCAAGAGACACCACTCAGGTCTCCTGCTGTGGGGAGAAAAACTGGACAAAGACTTTTGCATTCACCATTGTATTTGCACTGAGGTTGCTCCTGAGCTGCTCCCAGCCACTCACTGAGAATAACAGTGTGCCAGTGCATGCCCATTGCTGTGGTCACATAATGACACTGATGACCAGGGTCAGTTACCCCTTCCAAAATGGTGACTCCTCTTCTTGGTGTGGAGGACCTGAAGGGCCATGCTGCAGTAGAGCTTGAAGTTCAACAGGACTTTTGCCATATGTCTGGAAGTGTATCTTTAGGAGTCAAGGCCTCTGAACCTGCAGAGGCCAGAGCTTTGGAGATCCACAGCACAAACTTCCCAAGTGGCTCAAACTTCCCAAGTGGCTCAGTGGAGGTGTCATCGGAAGGGGGCCACTTCTACTTCCAACCCTTGACTTATGGGCCCACATATGCTATAAATCAAAGATACAGCACACTACTGTCAGTGATTCAGAGTGCATACTGCACCCTGTGGATTATGTAGTCAGCACTTCCTGTGTATTCAAATGCCTGCACGGAATTTGGTTGTTCTCTTTTAAAC